TATTACGTGATATATTATTGTTATTATTATTACATTATTATCATTAGTTATTATGAGTTAATTGCTATTGTTGTTGTAGATACTATTGTGCGAACATTGTTATTGTTACTGGTATGTTTATAGGTAATACTACGTGATATTCCACGAACATATCCTGAGTTGGAATTCTTCAAGGATAATGGTCGTGGACAACAAGCTCTTTTCAATGTCATTAAGGCATATAGCATACATGATAATGAAGTAGGCTATTGTCAAGGAAGTGCCTTTATTGTTGGACAATTACTATTGCAGGTATTTTGAAGTTAATTATTTGGACAAAAAGAAAAAATTAAACCACAAAGTTTAAAAATTTTAGCAAAAATTATTAAACCAACTCGTACTCATCCGTCCTTGAATCACTTTTACACCTTGAATCACAGGTATCGGGTTTCAGGTTAGAATATTGGCGAAGTATAGTTAGGAATATTTTGTATTACAGATTGAGTTGAAAATTAAATGAAAGGGAACGAAATGTCTTTTAAGTGATAAGCTTCAAATGGCACTTGAAGAGGTTAATTGATGAGGCTGTATTATCCCCACAGTTTAGAATTCTTTTTAACTTTTTCACCTTGGCTCTTAACTTACTTATTATTTTTAATTGTTATTATTATTGTTATTGTTATTAATTTAACTTTTAATTTAATTTAGATGCCTGAAGAAGAAACATTTGCGGTATTTGTACGCTTAATGGAAACATATCGTTTAAGAGAATTATTTAAGCCTACAATGACCGAATTAGGTTTATGTATGTTTCAACTCGAGTGCCTTGTTCAGGTTAATTACCTTTTTTCATTTTTTGTCAATAATTTATAGATAATTTCAAATTTTAATAAAATGCATTGTTTTTAATACAATTATTAATCAAGTATATATATTTAGAGTTTGTATATTCCATTTTAACACTTACTAATCATGGTGAATTTAGTATATCCAGTAATTGATTTTTTTAGAAATCTTTCTGAAAAAAGCTTAAGGCATGTATCATATCGTACAAATGAGGCTTATCATTAGGGCTTAACATATTCTAATTTCAAACAATGTTGTTTTCATTTGGTCATTTTTTTTTTTTTGCAATTTTATAACGCAGATTTAATTAAACGGGATATATTCATTAAGGAACAAAAATATCCGATGTTTTTGCTATAAAATTGACCACTACTGACCACACTTAAGATGATCGTTAAAAAGAACTAATTTTTTTCTGAGAAATATATCAGTCATTTCGTCATGTTAATATTTTAAATTATGCATTTTCATTTTCAATTTGCACATACATTTAACTTCCTATTGTTTACATTTATTTATTTTTTGGTAATGTAATGTTTAATTAACTAATTAATTATGATTAAATTTAGGAACAAATGCCAGATTTATGTACACATTTTAATAATATGGGTTTTGATACGAGTATGTATGCAAGCAGTTGGTTCTTGGCTCTTTTTACCACAACATTACCGCTGGAATTAGCCAACAGAATTATGGATATATTTCTTGCTGAAGTAATCATTAACTTATAATCAAAGATGATAATTATCTATAATTTTTATTCTTATTTAATCAAACCAATAGACGGTAATTACTGATCGTAAATTATTAATGATATAAATTAATGATTGTTTATAATATTTCATTGTATATAAAATTTAAAATTCAGTTTAAGGCTAATAAAATTAAATGGCAATTTAGAACTAATTTAAAACTAATGAAAAAAGATATGTTAAGACTGGTAAAGAAAAGATATAATTACATATATTTTAACATTTCACTAATTATTTTTTTTCAAATTTGTATTAATTATTTGTGTTTTATATGAAATGTTACCATTTTAATTATTAATTATTTTTGCCACTGAGAAATTTTAAATTCTGAACTTAGTTTTGCAATTGAACTACTTAAAAATTAACAACTGTAAATTTAAATTAACAACTAAATTGAAATTGTAAATTTTTAATATTAGAATTGTTTACTAAGTTATTTTTGAAAACTTAATCGTGCGAGAGTTTATTTAAATGCGTCATAGAATTTCACCATTCATTTTCTCTTTCATCTTACAACACAGCATTTTCGTGAAATTCGATGTCGAAATTTAATCAATGAAAAAAAATTTTTTTGTAAGAAAATAAATTTAATGGAAGCTTTTTTATCATTCGCCTTAAAGATTTTTTTTTTTAAACATTTTTGTATGCAACAAGCCTTTCGTGTCATAGTCCAATTAAATGCTTACAATTATTGAATTCGATTATAGTATTGTAATATAGCCCTGCAAGAAGTGCACGCAGTTTTGCATGTAAGAATATAAAGTATTTATTACTTAAAACGTGCATTGATTAATTTATTCGATTACAAATTGCTGATAGCATTTATTTTTTTGCTCAATAATTTCTTATTCTAATATAGTAAGATTTGAAAAAAAAAATCAGCTATTAAAAATTTATCGTAATTTTTGATTTTTTTTTGGAATTTTTTATGGTAAAATATTTTTCTAAATTTTTCATAGCAAATAATTTTCGAAATTTTTTCGTGTAACATTCAATGCATTAGTAATAAGGCGTCATTTTTTTTATTATTTTTGCTTTATTTTTCAAAAAATAGGATATAATTTTAGGTTTTTCATTTTTTTATCTCATTTTGATAACAGTTTATTTAAGGGAATGGAATTTATATTTCGTGTTTCATTGGCAATTTTACAACAGGCACGGCTTGATTTATTGAAACTTGATATGGAAGGAATGCTAAAGGTTAATTTGCATATTTTTTCATTCTTTCTTTTCTCTGAAACAAATTTTTCTTTTAGTACGATGATTTTTTTTTTACAACAGAAAGCTGCTAAATTTAGTCAATAAAAATTCTAATTACTATTATTATTCAACATGAAAACTTAATTGCAGAAAAAATTCAATTAATTTAATTTAAATGTATCATCATTGTTTTTATGATTCGTATTATATTTGTTGTATTATTTTATTTATTATAATCAATTCTTGATTATTAAAAAAAAGTTCACTCAGTATTTTCAAACTTTTGAAGCAATAATTTGAATCGTATAAATTTTACAGTATTTTCAACGTGAAGTGCGTGAACGATATGAGAATGATCATGAACTTTTGTTCGTTGCAGCTAATAAAGTTACTTTAAATGCTAAAAAAATGAAAAAGTTAGTTCAATTAATAGATTTTTTCACAATAAATAATGAAATAGATTCTTATGAAATTTAAATTCTTTACATTTAAAATAGTGTTTTTTAAATAAACACTAGCATATAAATGTACTTTATACTCATCATGTTAAAGTCAATATCCTATCTATCAAAATTTCTAAATTATTCGTTCAATAATTTTAATCGTATTGTAAATTATTTTTTTTTATAACTGACTATTATCCATTTAAATAAAATTTGCATTGTTGTCATTTCTAGCCATTTAATTTTGCTATGTTAAATATAATAATATTTGCTAATTAAATATTTGATACGAAAATTTTTTCCTCTCTTTTTCATTAACAAAATTATTTATCAATTTTTAAGCTGATTGGAAAAAAAATGTGAAAATATTTTCTCGGGAAATGATATCATTTCACAAAGCATCTTTATTACACAAAATAAATCAAATAACAATGTTTTGCTTTTTTTTG